TAAACCTCACTTGAGCACGATTTATTATTCTTTTTAGACCTCTCTGGATTCAATTTGCTGGTAATTTTTAAAAGATTTTTAAACTCTATTTTCTTGAGGGATATTTTAATCTATAATTTCCCTTTTTTAATATCCTTGTCAGATTGACTTCATAAAATGATTTAGAAACTGTTCCCTCTCCTATTTCTGAGTTTATATTAAATTGTTATTATTTCTTTTTTTGATTATTTTATGCCATAGCCATCTATATCTGGAATTTATGGGAATATTTTAAATTATTCATATTTTTTAAAATTTATTGTGATATTCAAATATATTATATCTGTTTCATTTGTTATTATTTTTTAAGGATTTGTCCTGTTCATTTAGGTTATTTGACTTACTGACATAAAGTTTTTAATTATATAACCTTTAACCCCCTTCATCACTTCTGATATTGGTCATTTATATTTCTCTCTCTAAGTTTACCTCTACTAAAGGTTTCTCAATTTTTTCATCTTTTCAAGGAACAACTTTTATTTTCTTGATTTTTGTTTTTACATTTTTATTTCTATTCATATCTTTATATTTTTCTTTACATTTTATTTTCATTGTTTTTCTTCTAAGCACTTTAAGCTAAATGCTTTCCTCTAAACATATCTATATGACACAAATGTTGATATGTTATATTTTCATTACCTTTATCATTCAATTCTAATTGTCCTTATTACTTATTTTTAAGCCATGCTATTTAGAAATTAAGTTCTTAATAATTAAGGATTTTCTGAATGTCTTCACAACTGCTTCTATTTTAATTCTAATATAGTCAGAGAACATACTCTGAATTCAAATGATTTCAAGTAACTTTAATTATTTGAAAATTTTTAAGACTTGTCTTATGGTATATAGTATAGGTCTATCGTGTTGCATTACTTCTTTTTAAGAGGACTGTACTACATAGAAATCACTTTTCTTTTTGTAGTTGTAGATGCATGCTTTTATTTTATTTGTTTATTTTTATGTGGTGCTGAGGATCAAACCCAGTGCTTCACACATGCTGGGCAAGTGCTCTGCCACTGAGCTACAGCCTCAGTCTCATGTTCCATTACTATTAGTTGTGGAGCAGGCTGAACAAATGTTAGCTGCAGGGTGGATTGAACATTCGACCCCCACCCATCTGGTGCAATGGAAACCCACTTCTGGCCCCTGCCGGATCTGCCTGAGGACAGAAGATGACACCCTTAGCAACTACTGTATGATCCAATCACTGTACGCCAGTCAACAAGGCAGCTTGCAGACCTAGAGACCCCATTAGATTTTGGCTATAAAAACTCTCTCCTGCTGGCCACCCCCACCACTACAACCCTTTAGCTTTGCCCTCTTTCTCTCTCATTATTCTCTCACTTTCTCTCTCTCTGTGCTTTGTGCTCCTCTCCTCTCCTTCTTTCCTCTCCTCTCTGCTCTCTCCCTCCCTCTTTCTCTTTCCCTGCTCTCTTTCTCTTTTCCTTCCCTGTCAATCAGACACCACCAGCTAAAGATCTCTTGGTCACTCAGAATGTCGTGGTCACTTTCCTTTCAATTACTTTAAAAGACTAATATGTTTACAGTTGTGTGATATGTTTGTTCTGTAGACATCAATTTGGTTAAGTAGCTTGATAATGTTACTCAAACTTCTTCTTTTGTTTTATGTATATGTGTATACTTGATTCATAATTCAGAGAGGTACATTAGATCTCAAACTATAAAGGTGGTTTATATTTCTCTTTAGTTTTTACCAATTTCTGCTACCTTTATCTTTAAGCTCTGTTATTAGATACAAAAACATTTAACATTATTATGACTTCTTAATTAACTGACACTATCAGTATAAAATATCCTTATTTATGTCTGATAATACTCTTAGTCTTGAAGTCCACTTTGCTTGATATTACTATAGACACAACCAGCTTTCTTAGTAGAGTATACATGGTTCTAGAATTTCTATTTGTTTCTTTTTTAGAATTTCCATTTCTCCTGAAATACCCCCATGTCTTCATTTACTATTGTCAACATACTATTGTAAAATATTTAACGTATTTATAATAGTTGCTTTAAAGTCCTTGCCTACTTATTACAATAACTGTTTTCCCAGTTAATTGGTTTATATTGGCAGTGTTTTCCCTGGACTACACATCCCATTTTCCTCCTCCTCTGTTTATCTTGTTCTATTGTGTGTTCAACATTATATAACAAACATTGTGGAGGCTGAAACTTAATTTTGTTTAGTTTTCACACAGCCTTTTCCTTTGGTATTTTGAATGGGTGGCTGATCTCTTAAAATTCTTCCAAAGTTGATTCAAACTTTGCAGGGTTAGCTGCAAATTTAATTAGATTGAGTTCACTTGTGATTAACTCAACCTCCAACCTCTCTTCCTCYATATCTACCTCTTATTTCTTGACAATATTTCATCTGAAACAAGTTGGAACTAAAGTTTTAGATATTTTTGATTCATAAATGAAGTCAATTCTGTCCAGGCCCTGGAATCTAAGAATCATGTGAATGTGTTGATCTATACAATTTTTTTTCTAGTCTCTTCCTCCATTGCTGCTTTCTTTGACAAAAATTCAAAAGTAAGATCTGAGGATAAGTGAAAAGGATTGTTTGACTAAGCCATTTGTTTTTGCATTTGATATCTTTACAGTTTGTTCTCCCAACTCACACTGATGCCTAGAGCCCACCTAATTTCTGTTCATTTCTGCAAAGTTACTGCACCATGGCAGGTCAATGGAAGCCTCAAGGGAAAAACAGAAGTGCGTTCCAGGTAAGGAAGCTATCACAGCTTTATGGTTGTTTATTAAACAGCATGTCTCTTTTGGGAATTCAAGTCATCAAAACATCCAGGGAGAGTCAGACATGGACTTGAAACCTCTTCTGTTGCCCAGGGCCTCATGTTTTAAAGGACCCTGCACTCGACTTAATGATCTAATGTCAACGTCTTTAAATTCTTAATAATTTCTGAAAAAAGGGAATTTTCATGAATTATGTAATTGGTTGTAMAAACTGTAATCCACTGATTTTCATTAAGTTCTTAGAAAAGAATGATTTTTATTTCAACCATGTTTTACTTGTTACCATGGAGCATCATTTATATTCTACCAAAAGCAGAAGGCTAATTTATGCCTCATCTCCTTTTAAAATTATCCCAGAGAACTATTGAATTTTATTTTGAAATTAGTTGAAACTTTCCTGTGCAAGTTCACATCCTTAACTCATTTTACTAATTCCCTTTAATTGAAATGTATTATTTTCAATTTATTCTAGTAGTAATTTAACAGCCATTATAAGGAAAAATGTCAACATTTAAATTGTTTTACTTCTGTACATTAAAAAAAATACACTGTGCATTAGTTTAATTCTGTGCATTAAAAAATACACTGATGAATGGGGAATGGAAGGACAGCAGAATAAAATAGACATTATTATTGCTATGGGTATATACGTGACTGCATGACCAATGTGATTCTGCAACCTGTACACTCAGAAAAAAKAAATTATATCCTATCTGATTCAAATGTATGATATGTCGAGATCATTGTATTGTTACATGTAACTAATTAAAACTAATAAAAATACACTTATAGTACCTTTTAATCAAACTGTTATATGCAATATCCCTGATGATATATCATAAACAGTTTTCTGTCTCTAAATCTTTGTCTTCCATCTCGAATATCTCTTACCCTTCTCAATCTGACTAGCCCAAGTCCCATTTTTTCCATAAAATTCAAATGACAGCTCTATTCATCTTTTGTTCTATCTGAACACTTATTTTTGTAATGGTTGTCACACATGACCTTTATTATTATTTCTTATAAGTCACATATTTATTTATATTAATCATATATTTTAAAATATTAAGAGAAGTAACTACCCCCTTTAATCTTAAATGTGTAATTTTACCAAGCACATACCTATAATTTTATAATGTTGGCCATTTTATATATATGAAATATATGTTTTAGTAAATAAAATATATATTTTAGTAAATAAAAACATGATGCAATCTCTTCATCCATGTTCTCATGACCATTAGGGCATTAAACTTCTGAATTCCTCTTATTTTTGCCTTCTCATTGTTTTTTTTATTCTCTAGAAATGTTTTTATGGTTATTTTTTAAATACCTACATACTTCTCACATTCATCTACTCATTTACTTATTAATTGATGCACACAGCAAGTATTTATGTATTGACTGTGGTACTGCCACTGTGAAATTTAGATATTCAGCCATGATTACACCATTATTTCTATCCTCATAGAGCTATGAAATCTTCATGTTAACATGAAGAAACTTTTGTGGCAATAAAACCTTCCTAGAAAAATTGACTTTTAATTCAATATTTAACATAAGAGCTAAATAGTCAAGAATGGATTGGAAGGAGAGGGACAGAGAGACTTCTAAGCAGAAGAAATAATGTGTGCAAAGTTTGTAAGACAAGAGGAGCAAGGCTTGGTCTCAATTAAAATTACTTTCAACTCACAAAAACTACTAGATAATAAAAATAGGATTATTACTTATTAAACAWTCAAATATTTAAATTGTTTTTGTGGATCTCACTAATGTGGCTTCTTAAAGTACTTCAGCAAGAGGATAATATTATCCGTGCTATCTACAATAGCCCAAAATGTCTTGAAATTCTTGAAGGAATTTGAGATGAGGACATTCAGCAAGAATCATGTCGAATTTTTCTATAGACTTGTGTATCAAAGGAAACTGTAGAATTTGATTTAGAGGCTCAGAATTTAAATGTTTACCTCTGTTCTTTTTTAAAGTTCAGGGGCTTGCAAGATGAATATTTAATACTTTATAGCTCTGAAATTTTAACCATATTTAAATATATAGAAGTATTCAAATATAAGTATTGTACTTATTTAAATAAATACAAGTTACAAATTATAACTTGTACCATATTTTATTAAAATAAATATAAGTACAATCTAAATTTATGTCAATAAACAGTATCTATTTTGCTTCATTAGAAAATACAAGTACCTCCAAAGAGCATTGAAGAATTCTTAAAGCTTCAAAATTGGGTGAGTAGAACATTCTACTTTATGTGCCAATGTATCTTTCTTTTATAGTTTAAATTTTAAATTTACATTTGTAATAATATTGTGTCATTTGGAAATAATTACATCATATTTTATCTGTGTTTATGTTATATATTATGCACAATTATATATATAAATTAATTATGATTGTATATAATAGTAGGCTCATTAGGATATATTCATAGCTGTGCATTGTATAATTTGGTCTGTTTCATTCCCCTGTGCCTCCCATTTCCCTTCTTTCCCCCTGGACCTAGTTCTCTACTCTACTGATCTCCCTTCTATTTTTGTGAGATCCCTTCTTTTCCCCCTTTTTCTCTCTAGCTTGCATGGATGACAGAAAACATAGGATCCTTAACTTTCTGAGTCTGGCTTACTTTACTTAGCATAATGTTATTCTCCATTTCCATCAGTTTACCAGCAAATGACATATTTTCATTATTATTTATGTCTGAATAAAACCTCATTGTGTATATATGCCACACTTTCTTTATCCATTCATCTCTTGATGAATAGCCAAATTATTCTTAATGAATAATTTGGCTATTATGAATTATACAACTATAAACATAGATATGCTTATATCACTTTAGTAGGCTGAATTTCATTCCTTTCAATAAATACTGAAGAGAAGTATAGATGGCTCATATGGTGGTTCCATTTCTAGTGTTTTGAGGAACCTCCATACTGATTTCCTTAGTGGCTGTACCAATTTACTACCCCACCATCAGTGAATAAATGTTTTCCTTCACATCCTCACCAGCATTTATTATTATTTGCATTCTTTTTTATTTGGTTCATTTTGTTATATATAACAGTAAGATTCATTCTGACATAATTATAAAATGTTTATAATTTTATAACAAAATACATATTTTGTTTTAATCCAGTCCCCAGACACTTCCCCCTTGTTATTTGTGTTTTTGATGATGACCATTCTGTGGTGAGATGAAATCTCACTGTACTTTTGATTTGCATTTCTCTTTTTTTTCATGTATGTGTTGTCCATTTGTATTTCTTCTTTTGAGAAATGTCTTTTTATTTCATTTTCCCATATATTAATTTGTAGGTGTTTTTTGTTTTGTTTTGTTTTGGGGTGTGCATGTGTGTGTGTGCACATGCTAAGTTCTTTAATTCTTTTTCAGGATATTAATCCACTGTCAGGAGAGTGGCTGGGAAAAAAATTTCTCCCATTTCCTCCACTCTTTTTATGCTCTTAATTGTTTCTATTATTGCGCTGAAGTTTTTAAATTTGACACCATTCCGTTTATTCTTTGTTTTCTTTCTTGAATTTCAGGATTCTTTTTGAGAAAGTCAGTGCTTGAACATTTATGTTGGAGTATTGATTCTATTGTGTTTTGTCTAGCAGTTATAGATTTTCTAGTCTGATTCCTAGGTCTTTGATCTACTTTCAGTTGACCTTTGTGCAGAGTTAGAGATAAGAATCTAGTTTTATATCCAGGATTCCCAGCATCATTTGCTAAAAATACTCTTTTATTCCAGATATGGTTTTGGTGGCTTTGTCAAGAATCATAACTATCTCTGTGGGTTTATCTCAGTGTCTTCTGTTCTATTTAATTGGTCTTTGGGTCTGTTTTTATGCCAGGATCATGCTTTTTCTTGTTATTACAGTTCTGTATAATTTGAAGTTGGGTATTATGATATCTCCAACATTGCCACTTTTGCTCAGAATTGCTTTGGCTATTATTTCATTCTTCCATATGAATGTTTGAACCATTTTTATTCTAGTTGTGTAATGACTGTCCCTGGGTTTTTTGATGGGAATTGCTCTGAATCTGTATATCTCTTTTGGTTCTATGGTCATTTTAACAATATTAACTCTGCCTATTCAAGAACATGGAAGTCTTTCCATCTTCTGGTGTCTTCTTCAATTTCTTTCTTCAGTGTTCTATAATTTTCATTATAGAGGTCTTTCACAACTTTGTATAGACTTATTATTAAATGTTTTTTTGAGGTTATTTTCAATGGGGTTGTTTTCCTGATTTCTTTTTCAGAAGATATTATTTTTATGATATTATTGTTTATATATTTTAGGATGTTGATTTTTTTATCTCGCTACTCTGCTGAATTTGTTTATTTGCTCTAGAAGTCTTCTGTGAAGCTTCTTTGATCTTCCAAGTATAGGAACATATTATCTACCAATAGTGGTATTTGATTTCTTCCTTTCCTATTCGTATCTCTTTTATTTCCTTCTCTTGTCTAATTGTTCTGCATAAAATTTCAAGTACTATATTGAATAAGCATGTGAAGAATAAATATCCTTCTCTTGTTGCTGATTTTAAAGGATATGCTTTCCATTTTTTTCCCATTTACTATGACATGGGCTTTGGTTTTATGGTATAGAGACTTCATGATGTTCATGTAAGTTCCTTCTATCCCTAGTTTCTTCAGTGTTTTTATCATTAATTGGTTATAAATTTTGTTGAAGGTTTTCTCTACATCTATCAAGATGATTATGTGATCTTTGTCTTAAATTCTATTTATGTGGTAAATTACATTTTTTGATCTGCATGTTGAACTGTCTTTGCATCCTGGAATGAAATCAACTTGATCATGATGTATAATCTCCTTAATGTGCTGTTTAATATGATTTTTATTGATGCATTTTAATTATACATAATAATTGGTTTCATTATACCATATTTGTGCAGGCACAAAACATAATTTGATCAGTCTCATTTTCTAATACCACCTCTTTCCTTCCTCTCTTACCYCCCTCTAATCTACTGATCTTCATTCTATTATCATTATTATTACTTTAATTAGTACATTATAGTTATATACATATGTATGTGATTAATTGTGATATATGGATATAGCATAATTTGATTTTGTACCCCAATATTTTCCAATACTCTCCTTTCCTTCCTTCTCTCAATCCTCTTCCTCTACCCTATTGGTCTGCTTCCTAATTTCGCAAGATCCCTTCCTTTTTTTTTCTCTCCATCTAACTTCCACATGTGAGAGAAAACATACAACTGTTGATTTGCAGAGTCTGGCTTTTGGCTTTTGGCTTCTTTCTCTCTTTCTTATTTATTTATTTTTTCTTGTTGTTGTTATTGTTGTTCTGCTATTGAACCCAGGGACATTTTACCACTGAACTACATTCCCAGTTATTTTTTATTATTAGACAAGCTGTCACTAATTTACTTAGAGCCTTGCTAAGTTGCTGAGGCTTGCCTCAAACATGCTATCTTCTGGTCTCAGCCTGCTGAGTCTGTGGGATTATAAGTGTGCAAAACTGCACCAGATTTCTAGCTTATTTCATTTAGCATGTTATTCTCTAGTTTCATCCATTAACCACCAAATAATATAATTTCATTCTTTTTTGTGACTGAATAAAGCTCCATTGTGTGTGTGTGTGTGTGTGTGTGTGTGTGTGTCTGTGTCCCATTTTCTTTATCCATTCATCTTTTGACCAGCACTAGGCTAATTCTATAACTTGTGATTTGTACTGCTATAAACACTAGTAGGCATKTATCACCACAGTATGCTGATTTTAGTTCTTTTGAATAAATACCAAGGAATTGGATAGGCGAGTCATAGGGTAGTTCAAGTCCTACTTTTTTGAGGGATTTACTTACTGCTTTCTAAAGTGATTGTACTAATTTTCGTCCAATGTATAAGTGTGTCTTTTCATACCACATCCCCCAAGGAATTATTATTTTTATTCTTGGTGATGACCATTCTAATAGGGGGTGAGATGAAATCTCTGGTGTAGTTTTGATTTGCATTTCTAAGGATGTTGAACATTCATATATTTGTTGGCCATTTGTATATCTTCTTTTGAGAAATGTCTTTTTATTTCATTTTCCCAATTATTGATTAGACTATTTTTATTCTTAAGTTTTATCAGTTCTTTATGTGTTCTGGATGTAAATCTGTCAGAAGAGCAGCTATCAAAGATTTTCTCCCATTGGATAGGTGCTCTCTTCACATCCTTATTTCCTTTGATGTGCAGAAGCTTTCTAATTGGATGCCATCTCAATTATTGATTATTGGTTTTGTGAATTAGCATCCACATATTGGAAAATACATTTGACCTGTGGTTCTTTAGGATTGGCTTATTTTGCTTAGCATGATATTCTCCAGCTTCATCCATTAACTAGCAAATGCCATAATTTCATTCTTTAAGGTTTGAGTAATATTTCATTGTGAGTATATACCACACATTTTCTTTTTCCATCCAACTTTTGAAGGGCACCTAGGTTGGTTCCCTGGCTTGACTATTGTGAATTGAGCTGTTATACACATTAATTGATATGGGTGCATCACTATACTACGACGATCTTAAGTCCTCTAGTTATACACTGAGGAATGGGATAACTGGGTCAATTTAAGGTTCCATTCCAAGTTTTCTAAGGAATCACTATACTGTTTTCCATAGGAGTTGTGCCAATTTGCAGTCCCACCAGCAATGTATGAGTGCACCTTTATCCCCACATCCTTACCAACATTTATTGTTGCTTGTATTCTTGATAATTGCCATTCTGAGTGGAATGAGATGAAATTTCAGTGTAGTTTTGATTTGCATTTCTCAAATTGCTAGAGATGTTGAACATTTTTCATGTATTTGTTGATTGATTGTATTTCTTTTTCTGTGGAGTGTCTGCTCATTTCCTTAGTCCATTTATTGATTGGGTTATTTGTTTTATTGGTGTTAAGTTTTTTGAGTTCTTTATATATACTGGAAATTAATGTTCTATCTGAAGTGCAGGCGGTACAGATTTTTTTCCCATTCTGTAGGCTCTGTCTTCATGTTATTGATTATTTCCTTTGCTGTAAAGCAGCTTTTAAAATACTGAATGAAAATGGTTTCAGTGCTCCAATTAAAAGATATAGACTATCAGAGTGGATTAAAAAACAAGATCCAACTATATGTTGTTTGCAAAAGACTCATTTTAAAGGTAAAAACAGCCACAGACTGAATGAGAAAAGATGGATAATGATATTACATGCAAATGGGGCCCCAACGTTGCTACTTTTATATTTTACAAAGCATATATCAAACAAAAAATAATCAGAGAATAATAATAATGTTCACATGAAAACTGAAATTGAACATTTATCTCTTGTCATATACAAAAATTAACTGAAAATGGGTTAAAAGACTTTAAAATAAGACTTGAAGCTGAAACTACTAGGGAAAAAAAAAAAACATTGGGTAAAGCTCCTTAACAGTGGTGTGGACAATGGTAATTTGGATATGACCACAAAAGCACAGATAAGAACAGCAAAAATAAACAAAAGGTATAACATCAAATTAAGAAGCTTCTGTACTGCCACAGAAATAATTAGCAACATGAAAAGACAACCTACAGAATGAGAGAAAATATTTGCAAAATATCCATCTGATAAATGATTATATAAGGAACTCAACTTAGTAGCAAGAAAACTTTATTAAAAATGGGCAAGGATATTTCTCAAAAGAAGCATACAGATAGCCAACAAGTTCATGTAGAGGTGTTCAACATTACTAATTATCAGAAATACAAATTAAAACTACAATGAGATGTCACCTCACACTTATGAGAATGACTATATCAAAACGACAAAAAAAAATGTTGGCAAGGATGCGGAGAAATGGAAACTTTGGACAGTGCTGTTGGTATTGTTAATTAATAGAGGAACTGTGGGAAGAATCAATATAAAAAATTAGAACTACCATATGATCCAGCAATCCTACTTCTAGATATGTCTTCAAAGGAAATGAAATCTGTATGTCAAAGAGATACCTGCACTCCCAAGTTCATTGCAACTGTTGTTCACAACAGCCAAGATATGCAATTAACTTAAGTTTCCATCAACATATGAATGGAAAAAGAAAATGTAATGTGTATATTTTGTGTATGCATACACATATATACATATATACCCATATAATGTAATGGAATATTATTCAGCCTTACAAAAGAAATAATTCCTGTCATTTGCAATAACACAGATGAACCTAGGAGACATTATGCAAAGTGAAATATGTCAGGCCCCAAAAGACAATTACTGCATGTTTTAACTTACATGTAGAATTTTTTAAAAAAGTGGAACTCTTAGTATCAGAGAATACAGTGGTGATTGCCAGAGGCTTATAGGGGGAGTAGGAGAAATGGGTTAAAGAATAGTTTTGGTTAGACAGGATGAATAAATTCTGGAGATCTATTGGACAGCATGGTGAATCTAGTTAATGTATATTTGCTGAGAACAGGTCTTAAAATTCCTTACCACAAAACAAAGCAATATAAAACCTATATGAGGTAATGGATGTGTTAGTTAGTTTTACTTTGGTAAAACTTTCACAGTATATATATACATCAAAACATTATATTGGCACACACCTGTAATTCCAGGGGCTCAGGAAGCTGAGACAGGAGAATCATGAGTTCAAAGCCAGCCTCAGCAACAGTGAGGTGCTTAGTAGCTCAGTGAGACCCGTCTCTAAATAAAATACAAAATAAGGCTGGAGATGTGACTCAGTGGCCAAGTGCCCCTGAGTTCAATCCCTGGTACTAAAAAAAATAAATAAATAAAACCTCACATTATATTGTGTACTATAAATATGTACATTTTTGTCAGTTATACCTCAATAAAGCTGGAAAAAAATAAAATTAAGAGAACTGCCTCATATCTTTCCTCCTCCCTCTCACCAACATACTGAGAAATTACGTCAGCCCCAAGGGAACTAAAATGACTCTAAGTTTAAACATAATGTGTGATTCTGAATTTGAATATTTTCTGTAGAGCACATCATTAGTTTAAGTGAAGAAACTCGAATAGAGTGAGATTAGATAAAAACAATATATTTATGCCAATTTCCTGATTCTGGTGTTATATTGTTATTTTGTAGGAGAATGTATTTGTATTTTTTAAATATATGCTAAAGTATTCAAAGATGATGGGCCATAAACAACTTACTTTCAAATGATTCAAGAAACAAATTTCTTATAAAAGCTGTAGTAGTTTTTCTGAAGTATTTTTTCTTACTTTTCTTTAAAAATGCTGTGAAATAAATCTCAAGTTTAGCTCATTGATTTTGAACTCTATTATTTACATTTATTAAAAATGATTTAATTGTTTCCTCTCCATTGGCAGGATTATTGGCCCAAAGAAATCCACTTAATAGAAGATAAATATGTACATGATATGAACAGAATAAAAGAAGATAGTTCATTTACTTCAATTTATACACATCTATTGAAAAATGTCCCTCAAATATTTGAAGCAGACATGAACGTGGAGTTAAGATTAAGGGAATGTTCACTTCTTTTGCAAGACCATGCATCCAAAATATTTGAATGGGACAAAGTTATTTGCAAAACAAGTAAGCCTTATTTTTTTAAATAAGTAAAGTTATGGTATATGTGTCTGGGTGTCTATTAGTCTATCTGCTGCCTCTATATGTGTTCTCATAAAGAATGAAATACAAGAAGAATATCTTAAAATATAAAAGATATCTTAAAATATCTTAAAACAAGAATATATATTTTAAAACCTCTTCATTTTAAAATGATTCAGTACAGATTTTCAGCTAAACACAAACATGTAGTTTCAAAGATAGGGTTACTAGGACAACAGTTATTAACCTTGTAAAGTTAGAGTGTAGGTAGCAAAATATCAGGGAAACATGGAAACAAGATTTTATCAACTGATATTGAAAGTCACAAGCAAATCCTCAAGAGTCAGGATAAAAGAACATAAATTTCTAAAGCCAAACAGTAAAAAAGGGTAAGAGTTGATTACATGGGCTAGGTTAGGTTTTATAGGAGTATTCAGAATATGGTGAGGAATAAATGAAGGAGTAAAAAGCATTCTGCAAGTAATGATAATGATAATTTTTCCTTTTCAGGATTTGTGTACTTTTCTTAATTATGTTGATTAATACTTCCAGAATAATTTTAAGTGTTAATGGTGGTTCTTATTCTTGATTTAATGAAACTTTGCCATATAGAAGTCTTGAAAACAATGATACTGGTTATCTTCTATTTTAAATAAATAGTTATAATGTTTAGATATTTAGTATTCTTCTTTGACTTTAGGTTTTTCAAATTCTGAGAACATTTAAATATACTATTAAATTCTCTCTCTCTCTCTCTCTCTCTCTCTCTATATATATATATATATATATATATACTTATATGTATATGATATGCAGATTATGTGTGGGATATATATATACACACATATATGAATATACATATATACAATATCTATACACAGTATATATACAGACATACATATGAAGCTTATGTGTGTATATATATATATATTCATAAATTCTTTTCTTAAATAAAATATCTACAAGTAAAAGAAAAATAAGAACATATCTCTTCAAATATTCCTCCTGGTTTAAAAATAATAATTATAAATATATACCTATATATTCATTGTTCTCAGTATGTAAATATCAGAGTTTATATTTAAGTCTAAGTATCTAACTTCAAAGCCATAACCTTTCTATTGGCCATACACCATTGTGCATAGTGCTTTATTTAAGGTAATCATGAAATAACCAAATCTAAGTCACTGAGCTGTTTGAAAAACATGGACTTGTTCAGTAGAGATTGATTGAGATAAAAATTTAGATAGAGAAGGAAGAGCCATAGACTTGTTAGGTGGAATATGATATTTCAGAAAAACTAAAGAAAACAGAAGATATGTAATAGTTCTAGTTATTCACTAAGAGTGTAACTAGTATTATGTTTATGAAAATCATTAGTTGATCTTAGTGAATAGTTTCACATAATTTCTTTATTGAAATTTTTCATTTCTAAAGGATATATTTACATATGTTTTGAATTCTGTTTTTAAGGTTATGAAAAAATGGAAAGATATAAGGCATTTCTAGAGAAGTACCATACACACAAAAAGATAATGGTAGGATATTTATGTTTTTATCATTTTTCAAAAATTGTATTTTCACAGAAAATATAAACATTGTAATTTCACGGATAAGCACTAATAATATTTAAAAATTATTCTTTTTAGTCTTTGGTTATCTAACAATGATGTCTGTGTTTTAAGTAACTAGCTGGACTCTTCTTTTCACATTCAATTAATTAGTGTTGGCCTCTTAACATTACAAATTATTTGAAGATTCATTTAATGTATAAATATTCCATCCTTTGGTTATTTACAATTTGTAATATACTTACTAGTATATCAGCCCTCTTCCTTTAGAAAAAAATAAAAATTTTTATGACCATTATATTTGTCAAATTTAAAAGTCTCCATGAGATTTTGATTAAAATTATAATATACTTTTGAATTACTTATAGATAGTCCATAGTCCTTTTCAAAATTATGGATTAAAAGCTGGATGTGGTGACATGTGTATCGAATCCCAGGAACTCTGGAGGCTGAGGCAGGAGGATAGCAAATTCAAGGCCAGCCTCAGCAACTAAATGAGTCCCTAAGCAACTTAGTGAGACCTTGTCTGAAAATAAAACATAAAAAGGGCTGGGGATGTGGCTCTGTTGTTAAATGCCCCTGGGTTCAATCCCTGGTACAAAACAAAACAAAAGTTCTGAGATTACATAATGTTAAAGCAATAAAAAGACTTTGTCTCTCACAACCGCACACCTCATTTCATGTTATTTTTAAAATTTCAAATAAGTTTTCCTCTTACGCTTCATTATAAATTACTAAAGTAGTTAACTTAAGAAAATTTATATTTTGACAATTGAATTTGTGATTGATACATGACCCATTCCCTTTCTAATATTAAATATTTTTTTTGTATTTGGTACCCAGGATTGAACTCAGGGGTGCTTAACCACTGAGTCACATACCCAGCCCTTTTTTCTTTGTATTTTGATCAGGGTCTCCGCACATTGCTTTGGGCCTCACTACATTGCTGAAGCTGGCCTTGAATTTGCAATCCTCCTGCTTCAACTTCCTTAGTCAGAGGGATTATAGACATTTCCACTATGCCCAGTTAAATATTTTATTTTTTTAATGTTTATAAACCTGATAGGCAAAATTTTTGATCATTTATGTATATGCCATAAATTGCATGTCTTTTACTAATAGTTTTAATTAGCTTTGTGTTTCTATTATTGTGAATTGCCTGTTTATGAACTTTGATTTTTTTTAGCTTATTTTTATTTCTAAGAGCTATTTATGCTTTAAAAATATTAGCTCTTTTCAATAATATGTTATTTTTATCCTACCTTCTCTTAATCCAAAAGTGTTTTTTACTATATTAAATTTTATATTTTCAATTATATGTAATTTTTACAAAATTCCTTCAGGGTTATTATATTTTAGAAATCTTCCTTTATCACAGAGTCATAGACAAAGTCACATGTGTTCTTTTGTATTATTCTAGTAGTTTTTTAAAACTTTAATTCTTTAATCTATCTGTTATTTATTCTAGCAAGGGCATAAATTATAATCATGTTATTTTAAGTCCATCAAGAAATTTGTGTGATTTTTCTCCATAACAGTTCTACACATTCTTTGTTTTTATTTCCCCCCTAGGTRTTTTCAATTTTCATCAATAATATTAATGTTTTTTAATCTGTTATTAACTGTGTTGTTCTATTGAAAATTATCATTGCTATATAGATATTATTCAATTGAAGGAGATATTACTCAGTTTATGGGTTTATCATGCTGTCTCTGACATTTATGATAAGGATATTTGTACTTTGCTATTAAGTATAACTTTTAATATTTAGATACTTACATTTTCACATTAATAATATTTATTTTTATTTCTAGTTTATTAAACTATATATGTATGGGAGTAGATGTAGATTAAATGTAAATATCACTGGGCTCAAAAACTTGAAGAAATCTCAATRGTTTGAAATTAGAGGGAATGAGTCCACTGTAGTGAAAGCAGAAGCTATTTTCATCCTTTAATCTGTGAATATGGAAGATTATATTGTCAACTTTTCAGAAGTTGAATCACCCTCACATTGTTAGGTTATACTTTTTAAATGCATTACTGATTTTATTTTGTTTTATTTAGATTTTTGCATGTATGTTTGATACATTATTATTTTTCCTGTTATCTGTAGTTAGTTTCAGTACCAAAATGATAATAACCTCAGAAAATAATGTTCTTAGTTTTAGCTCTCTTTCTAATTTAAAATAGTTTGTAAAATATAAAGATATTATTTTTCCCTTTGGATGTTTTATACATAATGCTGAGTGAAGATAGCCAACCCCAAAAACCCAAATGCCTAATGTTTTCTCTGATATAAGGAGATTGATTCGTAGTGGGGTTGGGAGGGGGAACATAGGAAGATTAGAAGAACTCTAGTTACAGCAAATAGGTGGGAGAGGAAGGGAGGGAGCATGGGGGTAGAAATGAGAATGGAATGAGATGGACATTATTACCCTATACATGTATGAAGACACAAATGGTGTGAATATACTCTGTATATAACCAGAGATATGAAAAATTGTGCTTTATATGTATAATATGAATTATAATACATTCTGCTGTCATATACAACAAATTAGAATAAAAAACTTTTTTAAAAGTAGCTTGCAAAAGTTATTAGCTAATTCATAATTTATGTTGCTCAGTGGAGTTAGGTTGCTGGAAAACTTTGTGGAAATTAACTAATTACCTAAATAGCAACTCTAGTAAATTGTCAGAACTAATATTAAGTGGGAAAAAAGCAAGTTACCAAGTAATATGTGCAATTTATATCTTTTTAAAATTTCAAAACACAAAAGTCGTCTTGGGGCGTGTGTGGGGTATGGGTGTGTGTGTGTGTGTGTGTGTGTGTGTGTGTGTGTGTGTGAGAGAGAGAGAGAGAGAGAGAGAGAGAGAGAGAGAGAGAGAGAAAGTATTTTTAAGTGAATGGAAGGTATATAAGCCAAAAAGGAAAAAAAAAGGGGGGGATTTTAGTGACTATCTCAAAGAAATGGGAACAAAAGAGTAGGACTAGAGATCATGGTCAAAGAGAATCTAAACTTTTATTATGTAAACTATTTTAAATCTGGAGTCTTAAAAAACAAATTCTGAATGTCAACAATAACCTATTATAGGTTGTGGGAACATTGGAACACTGGTAGTTATATTATTCATTAAATTTTATGCAAGTTTTAAAAATTCTGACCCTTGAATTTTATTAGATGACTATCAAAGTCTCTTGAAATTACCCTTAGATCAATTAAAACCAACAAAAGCATTAATAATCATTGTAATTRAATATACATGTTTTATTGGACTTCTTAATTGGAATTTTAACATGTAAAAATTCATTTACTTAGAGTTTTAAGTTTTTATTTTAAATATTTTCCAGCTTGCAGATGAAATGGGGACACAGAAGAATATAGAGGTATTCAAAATTTCTGTTTTTCTAGATTGTATGTTCGAAGTATTACATGGGGCTAAAAGAATGCTTGTAATAATATAGATGTAACTATAAATATAGATAGAGGTGCCAGAAAAGAGAATTGAGAACAGGTATAGAATCTTTCTCTTTCTACCTATTTCATATTTATGTGTAGTGTAGTTTTGATCATTTTTATACAGGCCAAAGTTAGTTCTGAATTGTGGAATATTTATTTATTGATTTATTTTTTGCTTTTGAATCTGTTATATGAATATGAAAGGGCTCTTAATTTTTCAGAAGCAAAAATATGAACATTTTTCTTAGGAGGAATATATTTTATTCTTAATAGATTAACATGAAACAAAATAATTATGTTAGAATGAGTTAAATGTATCTGTCTTATATAGTCATATGAAACTACTATACTAAGAAGAGTGAAATAATTACTATTCTATAATATTTCCCATTTTTCTAGGGTTGCAACTTCTCRGGATTCAAAGCAAATGAGCTTACTCAATTACCCAGACATTTGGATGCTAAACGAATTTATCTTTTTATTTTAAAAGCCCATGACTTTGATGTATGTAAATATTATTTTTATTGTATAATAAACTTTAAGAATATGATTTAATGAATAACACCTTTACTTAAAGCTATGATAAATTAGGTGTTAAGCAAGATACATTTACCAAAAGAGAATGTATTAGACACCATATTAGTGCCTGAGGAGTCTGAGGATGCTAGTGTTCACTGGATTGACATGTGACCATAACAGGTACTTTTTCTTCTGTTTCTGCTCCATCAGCTTAGGATAGTTTAGCCTGCTACTTTGACCTTGAAATAACTTAATAGAGCCCTTATCCATAGGCCTTTTGTATGTTCCTTTTTAAGCCTAAAAATATTCTGGGGCATTTTTTGTAGTATCCCTACAGAGTAACCAACGGAATGATGAAAAGATACTGGTATAGAAAGGTAACTAGGTTGTCAACTAGTGATTATCAGGGATGGGTTGAGGTTGGGATGTTTACAGATAAAACTGATCATTTTTTCCACTGCATTTAAATTTTCTACTTTTTATGTCTCAATATATTACATGTATTATTTTTCATTAAAAAGTACTAGATATAAGTTAAAACTCTACTGGTACGTCCATACTATACTTAGTAGCCTATTTAAAAGAAGTGCTTCACAAAATACATGATAAATAATTTTCTTGCTACAAAAGTTTGCATGATGTCATTTTTGTTGACTTTTATTTGAGGAACATGAATTGATATTTGTGGATTTTATTAAAATAGATGTTGAATTCTACTGAATGTATAAATAACCTTTTGTGAAGAACAAAAATGATCTTTGAATCTACAATTTTAAACCAAAATTGGTAAATAGATTTAACCTTGTGAACCAATTTTGATGAATTGTCTACTTAAAGGGAACACCATATTTAGACATATTGATGAAGACAGCTTATTGAAATAGATGTTTTTGATTAATTGTTGACATTTGTCTTCAGTGAAAAATAGGAAAAATTATGGCATTTTTGCTATTCTTGGTCTGTCCTAAATCACCTTTTGCATAGTTACTAGCCAAATATAGTTATTGAGCATATGAAATGTAGATGATGTCACTGAGAACCTGAATTTTTAATATATTTCTTTTAATAAATTTATATACAAATCTTAAAAATAGCATATGACTCAATTATTTAATAATGCTCAATTGTGCAATAAAATTATAAATATGTATTTTATGAAGTCTACAGATTTAATATTTCTGATGAAAATAGTATTTAAATTGAGATATGCTATGAGTATAAATATATATTATAACTCAAAGATCTAATACTAAAAAGAATGTAAAATTATTTATTAATAATTGTATATAAATTATTAATCATTAAGCATTATATTAATCATTAATCATTGTATGTTATATACAATGAAATATTATTTTAAATATATTCAGTTTAATAAATAAAATGTGCAATTAAAATTAATTTTACCTTTTACTTTGTAAATAACTATTAGAAAGTTTAATATGTACATGGCTTATGTAAATATCTATTTGGCTGTGATAGTCTATGAACATTGAAAACATACTGTTTATAAGGCATATTTACACTAACATGTTTCTTTAATATATTTTAATTTGGTTTCTATGTATCTTTTTTCCCCATAGGAAAGAATATTTAAAATCTGGAAGAGTCATTTTCTCTCAGAATCTTCCATTGCTCTTTTGCATGACTCCTTTTGGTGGTGGTTTCTCCATAAATTTAAGGCAAATAAGATTTTTAAAGTTTTTTTAATAAGTTGATTTGTAGCATATAATTAATTTGTAGGTAGAGAGAACACTGGTAAAAATGTTTCTCTATCTTTTCATAGAGATTAGTTTTTGAATGAAATTATCATGTATGTAATATTTGTAGACTTTAAAAATCATGTTTAAAGTCTCCTTTTTCAAAGGAGTAAGACTTTCATATGATTTCAAAGATCCTAAATCTTTTCTAATCATAAAAATTAGTGAAATAAAACACTGTAGTGAGCAATAAAATTGAGGATTTATTTAAAATTGTAATGTGCTGATAAACACTAAACAGAAAGTCCACTGTAAATCACTGATATTGAAGAAGTTCAGTTTGAAAATATAAGTATGCGGTTATAGAGAGTCTTTATTTGATTCAGAAGCATTAGAACTTTTGATTAGGATTAAAAGGATAAAGAGGGGATATTTGGGAAACAATAAGAATGGAAATAAGTAGCACATAGACAGTGTTTGACTAGAAGTAAGTATGTTCTAATATTCTTAATATTTTAAAAAATTGTCCATGGTACCTTGGTTCCCCCCAAAAGGTGCAAAAGAGTGAAAGTGTATCACCTCCACACAACTCCATACATTAACAAAAAGCCATATGACCTACAAAGTCACAATATTTTTTAATCTATCATACAAAGTAGATTCCAAAGCACTTAATATTACCAGGGATAGAGGGAATAAATACATAATGATAAAATGGTCAGTTCATCAGTATGACATAAGAATACTAAATATTTATGCACCTAATAAAAAGTTCTTCAGAACACATTTAATAAAACTTTTAACACTTCAAGGAGAAATAGACAAACTCATAAGTATAGTTCAAGATTTCATCATCTCACTCTCAGTAATTGGTAAAACATACAGAAAATCAGAAATTATGTAGAAGACTTGAGCAACACTGACAAACAACCTGACAATTATAAAACACTCTTCTAATCTTGCTCACTTTGTGTTGCTATAACAGAACACCACAGAATAGGTGATTTGTACTGACCAGAAGTTTATTGGCTAACAGCTGTGGAGGTGGGAAAGTCCAAAATATAGGGGTCTAGGAGCCAGTATTTGGCAAGGTTCTCCTTGCTATGTCATCCCATGGCAGAGAGCCATGAGGAGATATTATGGTTTGGATGTGAGGTGTCCCAGAAAAGCTCACATGTGAAAAAATACAAGAAGGTTCACAGGAGAAATGAATGGGTTGTGAGAGTCTTAACCCAATCAGTGAATTAATCCCTGGTAGGGATTAACTGAGTGGTAACTGAAATTCGAGGGTGTGGCTGAAGGAGGTGGGAATTGGGACATGGGTTTGGGATATATATTTATATCTGGCAAGTGGAGACCTCTCTCTGCTTCCTGATCACCATATAAGCTGATTTCCTCGGCCAAACACGCTTCTGCCATCAATGAGTCTTGCCTCACCTCAAGCCTTGAGGAATGGAGCCAGCCTTCTATGTACTAAAACCTCTGAAACTGTGAGCCCTTATATAAACT